TTGATGGCTTTTTGGAGCCCTTGGAGTGAGAGTCAAGTTCGTCAAGGAGGTTCGGAGAGTCTAGTTCAAGTATTTATGGGAGATTCACATGGAGCCTGGGATTGGTTGGATAGACAGTCATGTATTATGCTGACCGCAACAAGTATGTTCGAATATCAGTCACTAGAGGATTAGCTGATGGTTCACACACTGTCTTTGATAAAGCAAGTTGTGAAAACAACTTCAAAACTCACAAAACAGGATCCATGTTGCCCATGTGATCCATCCATCCTTGGATTGGATGGTCCAATGGAAGTTTCTGGCCCAAATGTGACATATGTCTTCCATGGTAGCATCCTAGCTCCCTCAATGTGTTTACTAAGCAGCTAAACCAAAAATAACACAACAATCAATGAATGAGGGTTCGTTACCTTTAAAACAAGAAATTGTGTTCGCAGGTTGCTTGACCGTCCAGGTGGCAAGGGCAGCAGCAAGGGCGGAGGAGGTGGCTGGAATGATGAAGGCGCTTGAACTGGGGCAGATGCCTTTGCTTGCAAAAACGACAACCACAGATTAGAGATCAACTTGTACTGCGAGACACCCCATGGGTTTGGAGTATTCACTAGTTACATTGTTCTCAGTGACCCCTGGACCAAAATCTGCCTGCACGAGAGTGCCTGATCCTCGGCCAAGCCCATGTCAAGACATTCCTTCTATATAAGGAAATAGTGAAGCGAGCCACATCAGGCCTAGTAGCTCTTGCGAACTGAAAGATGTTTCTGTACAACCTACTGAACCAGGGCCCTTTGGTGTGTGTGTGTGTGTGTGTTTGACCACTCGCTGTAGATTGGAATACAGTTTACCGGCTTACCCTATGTTTACCGTAGTTTTCTGTACCGCAAAGGTGGTTGGGGAAGGAGTGGTGATGAGTTCCTGCACACACGCCTTTCGCCTCTTCAAGGCATTTGCCTCCACCACAGACCACGCCTCCCACATCGAACATAGTGGCTATTACCGTACTTACACCGGAACATTCGGAAGTGCTCTCGGCAACGGCCCGCAAAAGCAAAATTGTTTCGCGGAAGTGCATTTCTGTCAACTCTGGTGAAATCGAGGAGGTGCTCAATTTGCTGGAATGGCAAGATTGGCCGATCACTGTAAGAAAGGGTGTGGGTATTTGGAAGGAATTGGTGGAGCACGGATGGGTGAAGGGTGGACTTGAGATAGGTGATGTGGAGAATTTGGTTGGGGAATGCAATTGTAGGAGCGGTTTTAGGTTCTTTGCATATTTTTAAATATCCCTTCTTCTGGCTGGTAATGAAATCACAACTCATCTACTGTGGGCACCACCTGTATGTTTTATTGGTGTCTCAGCCTGCCAATGTCTTTAGTTTTTGTAGATAGTAATTCTATTTATCGACTATTTCAAGGGGGTCGAAAAGTAGATCCAACACTGCTTGCAAATTGCAAGTAAGACACGGTTAAACAATTTGCAAGAGGGTCCAAAAATAGAGTGATAAAAGAGACTTCTTTTACCCTTTCTTTGAGAACCACTGGGGCTGGCGGTTGTTGTCGCGAAGCGACCCGAAAATCCCAGATGGGGAGTGGAAAATACAGGTTCAAATACGTAGAAGCTGTTCCTTTTGCATTTTTAGTGGAGATCGAGATCTATACTGTTCGGTCTTTTGCTGGGTCACGATGTGTTCTATTTTACCCTTTCTGGGGCCGTCATGGCGCTTCCTGGCGATGACTTTGGTTGGTTTGAAAGAGAGCGACGCTCCCCAGGACGACACGTGCCATGAATTTTGAGGATCCCATACGGCTCATGCCATTCTTCTGCCGACGAGTCCCTGTCGAGAGTGCGGCGTGATCGATCGATTCTCGGGCGCAATGTTCGGGCACATCGACCCTGCACATCGACACCTCCAACTGGAAGCGATCGTGGAGAACGTCCACGATCGCTTTTGGGCGTTGGAAGAACTTTTCACAACCGCCCACAACGACGTGGCCCACTGCACCTGAACCGCGCCCGCCGGAAACTGCGAGGCTATGGACCGTCGGGAAGAGGCGGCGGTGGCGGTGGCGGTGGTGTGGAGCCCAGATTCTCAGGATCACGAGGAAGCGCTCAGGCGGTTGTTTCTTGCAGGATGATTTTCATGGGTCCTTGGGTCAAAATGTGGAAGTCAGCGTGAACATGCTATGCATCATACTGAGATCCTTAAAGATGTGTTTTTTCCCTGGTGATTGGTTTCTGTGGCTCTTGTGACTCTGGAAGGGCGATCAATGTGTGGGTGAAACTCAATGATGGCTTTCATGTACAGGTGAGTGGGGATGTATTTTACACATGTCTTTAAAAACTGGTTCAAGGATTCCGGGGCTTGGAACTCCCATGTCTCGAGAGTCTAAGCGTTGCGTCAAAGAAAACTCGTTCGTTGGTCGGATTCGGCCGATATTTGCTGACGTTTCCCATCAAACGATCCAGCTTCCCCCAAGCCCTGCGACCCAGGCTATGGCTATGGAGCAGGGAAGGGCAGCTGGGCTAGGGAGGCACACATCCCGGCGCGAGGTGCGAGGTAGGTTCTCAGTTCTTCTTGCGACTCGTCGGCCAGCAAGGAATGTTCGATCAAGTTTCATGTCCTGGAGGTTCCCTGCATCTTCCGATCTCCTTCCCTAAGAGTCGATCCAGATGACCTATTGGATCCCCTTCCGACCAATTGATCGATAGAGTTTCGACTGCTCGGATCCCTGTCTGGATACCGTCGAAAGGAAGGACTCTGGAGCACGCCGCCCGGTGCATTCGGTGATTGGAGCCCTTTCTGCCGATTCGATGTTTGGTCGCTGCAAACCTGCAAACGGTCGAAGCGTGTGCAGCCCCGGAAAGCATCGATGTTTGTTCAAGACGTCCTACATCACAGCTGGATAGTTGTTGAGTTCTTAGAACATATATATATATATTATATATATATATTAATATATATATTAATATATATATATATGAATATATACAAGTTATATTGTAATAGAAACAGACAGATAGATAGTATACATGACCACAGTTTCCACCTTGCCGGGTGAGGCTCCTTGGGAGAGTGCACCCTCCGCTCCTGTTTGGGGTGCTCGACCCGCACCGTACCGGCGGCTGGGGAGCTCAACGGACCGACCGGGGGGGAGGAAACGGGTGCCGTTTCATGGTGTGGATTCGCCCGGTGGAAGAACTCAATGATCCGATTTGAGGTGAAATCACTTATATGTCTGGGCGAACCAGAGGAAATCAGAGGAAAAAGAAGGAGGGTCTCACCGGATTTGGGCAGGTGACATCACTCAAACTTGGCTCAGACCAAAAGTGCTTGAGCAAGCGTCAAGTTTGTCCCGATCCAAAGACCCGGTTAGTTTGATAGTGTAGTCAGCCTGATGATTTCGCCTGCGGTCACGGACCTCTCAAGGCTGCAAAGAAAAAAATAAACGTCGATTTGATGTATCGTACCGTCTACGACCTCATCCATCCCGCATTCACGAGACTTGAACCTTCTTTTCCGACATCTCCCGAAGATGTTTGGTCGATCATGGGGTCCAAACGACCGCACAAAGACCACTGGTCAAAACATGTCAAAACTGTTTGGGGACGGTGCGCAGACGGTACGAAGCTGACGAAGCCATCACACCCCATCCGGTGTGGCGATCGGAAACAGCTCTCCAGCTTCTGTTTATATCAAAGCCGAAAGAAAACGGCGAGCAAACGGCGGGCTTTAGCAGTTTGTTGCAGTTTGGCGGGCGATTGTACACCTGTTTAGCTAACTCATACCTACCCTGTCAGGGGTAGGTGAGTTACCCTCATAAGAAAATGCAACAAAACAAGTGGAACCAGGCAATCCTAGATTGTCAAACTGAAGGTCAGGGTAGTCAGGGTAGTCGTGATCAAAAAATAACATTTAAAAAACACCATAGCTTTAATTCCTCCATGTCCCAATGCTGTGCAAAGGCCTGAGCCGATGCTGCAGTGGGACAGGCCGGATTGTAGCCTTTGCTTGTGGTTCAGGAGTTGTCACCGTTGCAACAACTTTTGGCCACAAGAACCGTTGAACAATGCGAAGTTCATCTTCATGATCTCTGGACTCCAGACCAATCAAGATGGATCTATACTGCCGTACATAATAGTAATTATAATATATATATATATACACCAGGGCCCTCAAGGGGCCCAAGGGGTGTTTAATAATAGCCCCGAAAAGAGTCTTTTTTGATGGGTGTCTATTGTGATATATATCTATATATTATCTATATTAATATATATATATATATGTGATATGCATAGGTATGCTTTATGGTCATGGACTCGCCCTGCGTCGCCGATGTTGGTCCGATCTCTTCAGCGAGAAGTCGAGGTGTGCTGAAGTATCGGACCAGATGTGACCCTGCGACATGGTGGGTAGGATTGTAGCCAGACTAGGACCACACCCAGTCCAGTCAGTCCAGAAATGTTGGAGTGAAGGGCATGGTGGTACAGTATGGTACTGGTACTGGTTCCTTTTTCACTTTGGTTTGTCTGGCAACAGTACGGCTGAAGTTGTTCCTTCAACATGTCTTTTTCTGTCACATGCTCAAAGATTTGGGGGCTGACATGGGTGTTTGGATCCCCTAACAGACTGATCAGACTGCCAATGCGGTCAGCCTCTCCGCCTCTCCGGTGGGCCTGACACTGCGTTCTTTAAAGGATCGGCGGCTCAAAGGATTGGACGAGAAAGCACCAGACGACATGTGGCGAGCGAATCGATTTGGAATGAAATTGTCCAAGTGAATCCAAAGAATCCCCATGAAGATTCCAAGAAGTTCTATCTAAAACAAAATAGATATATATATATATACACACATAACATACAACTGTAAATCCATCGTGAGTTTGCAGCTTCCTCATGTCATATGAACAATGCAGGTTGTTGCATAAATTCAGATAGAACACAAAACATAGTTAATGTAAACAATGCTAATTGATAGACTGTTGATAGAATGTTGCGCCACACTGTCCGCAGCAACCACACAAAGCCTGACAAAAACCTTTTGAGGCCTGAGAGTGCCAACGTTGCGCTCGGGGGTGTTCCCCCACGGTGGCCTCGGCCATGGCTCCGGTGAGCCTTCCAAACGGCGCCTTGGAGAAGCTCGAGGAGGAGTTCGACCCCGAACTGCCCCTGGGACGAGTCGCAAGAAAGGCAGGAAGTAAAGGATCTATGGAGACTCCAGTTTCTGTTCTTGACACCGAAAGGGTGTCGGTGTCCGAAGGCGGGGTCACAGTGTGAAAGGTATTACGGAGTCTGGGAAACTTCGAAACATTTATTTTGACGTATTTCTATATAGCACGAAGTGAAAAAACTGTGATGATGGTCTTGGTCTTGGTCATTGATCCTCAACGACATGAGGCTCCTTCCGTGGTCTTAGACCATGTGAAACCAGCGGCGCCCGAGAATCGACGCCCGAGGCCGGTGAAGATTTGTCACCTGGGCCAGGCGGCTGTGGCCGCCCTGCATGGAGCCCCGGTGCGAGCGAAGCGGCGCATACAGGGGAAGAGAATGGAATCAAGCACTGTCCACGCATGAACGGATCTCTTGATGTCTCTTGTGTCTTCGAGTTGGATGTTTCAAGACCACGTCTATCTCCGAGTTGCTGCTGTTTGTTGGCATTGCGGGTTCCCCATCAAAGCGTTGAAGCAGGATAGCAGGCCAAGAGGTCGAAGGATCCTTTCATCCAACGGCCCAATGCTCAGAAGGTAAGACCAGGCCATTGAATGGATTGTGCGGAGTTGTCAGACATCATCCCTTTGAAAAATGTCCACACCAAGTCTTCTCAGGCGCAAGTTGGAGGGGTCTACTCATCCACTCGTCTTCACGTGACCCTGCAGAATTCGTGAAGATTCGTGGGTCTACTCACCCCACGCTGCTCGAGGTCCTCCCTGCTCGCTGGCGCTTTGGTGCTCTTCTTGGAGCGCCCCAGCGGCGCCTCGGCCTCGGCTGCGGGTGCTGCCGCCGTGGTGTGCGCAGGGCAGCAGAGCGCGCCGCAGTGACTGTGGCCATGAAAGGATCAGTTTGGGCAGGGTGGGTGACTCGTTTTTCCGGCCTGAATATGATTCATCCGATCTAAGGGATCTCGTTCTTCAGGCATAAATGTCATTCTGTAACACTGGAAGAAGGGCTTTGCTTTTGAGCACACCACGCCATAGTATGAAGGGAATCTGGGCCCTTTTGCTGGGTGGGGGTATGTTTACAAGGTCACAAGATCGTTTTGCTGCCGTCTATGGATTTGAGAGATCAAACATTGTGTCTTTCGATTTTCCGGACAAGACGGACCCTAGCTGAAAAATTAGCAGATGCATCTGGGCTCACCTGGACTGCTTTTACCGGTAAACCAATGAAACCACAGAAAGCCGAAAGAGACAGGGGTAGGTTCAATCTACTTGCTTTCGGAGGGTAGGTTTCTATGATTTCTATGATGTTCTATGTGAACGGAGAACAGAACAATTTAGCCACTCCATCCAAAAATGCATTTGCTTTTGGGGGATTTCGCGATCTTTCTGACCTCACGGCCAGGTAATGCCATGAAGAGCCACCTACTGTAAGCCTTTGCCAAACTGGAACAGGTTAAGCTTCTGGTGGCAAACTGAGGCTCCTCCTGCAAGCCTTGGCTGCCGCCTGCGGTGCCAGTGCTTCCGCGGGCGCGGAACCCATGCAGATTGGCGCAGCCGCAGGACAGCCATGGGATCCGCCCCTCTTTGTGTATGTGTGTTGTGCGCTGTGTGTCACAGTGTTGGAGGCTTTGTGCTGGCAAGAATTTCTTCAGTCCTTGACATTTCTTGATAATCAGATAATCCATGAATCAATGACAATCCTTGAGGGACAGGAGATATTGGTTTTGAAACACTGAAACGTTCGGGTTACCTCTTGGTGTGGACCTGATGAATTCAGCCAGTGGCGAGCCAGAAAGTCCAAACACTTGCACAACGACCTGTTGCGTCGTGCTGACGGATGCAAGATACCTGAAACGACCCAAAGTTTGGGGTCGCCTTGAGAGAGGGGAAGGCAAACCACATGTAAACGCCGTGGCGTCTGGGTCTCTTAGGTCATATCGCCTGAACGTGGACGAAACGAAGATCCGAACCATCAGTTTCTGTTTGCTTCTGAGCTGTCAATCGAAACCACAGATTCATTCACCTGTCGATTCATATTCTTTGGGGGTACACAGAAGCTGCAGATGTTAGACACACAGAGACAAAGACACACATACCAGGTACCCATGTTGTCCCAGAATGTCACTATTTGGGGGGCCCAGTTATTTTTGCATGCGGCATTGTCAATCACAACATCGTTCCGATTCGCTGTTCTTGCTGAAAGGACTGGACTTTGATGGCTCTGGCCAAGTGGGGAGCCTCTTCACACCCTCCTGCCAGGTCTTTCGACGCTTGGTGGATGACCGGAGGAGAACGTGTGACACCTCGTCCCACGCATGGAAGGAACATATCCCTCAGTGGTTTCGGGACCAACACATGGAAAAGGCCATATGGCCCAGAACTGAACCTGGGGTTCCAGACCCTGGTGGGACAACCTCCCTGGTACTCTATTCTGTTCATGTTCGATGGTCAGCCAGTCTCCGTTTTGGACGCTTTGCAGCGCACAGGAGCTCCGTGCAGGCAGTTCCGAAGAAAGGATCGACCATGTTTGGTGGCCGTTGAAAGGGGTCCTGACATCCCAAAAAGACGATGTATGTGGATCCCGAGGGTATGTTCATCCTGTTACGTCCAGTGTCTCTTGTGACGTCCCTCAATCTGTGTCATGTGTAAAGGGTCACTTTAGGAGGTCAGGGCTCATCCTAGCAGAAAATCCAATACCATGACCCTGCAATAGGCTGTTTTGAAGCCCTACCAGCTGGTTTCTGGAACCTGTTGTCACCACAAAACACCTCTTGGAGGGTGCTGGTATGTTTGTTTCTGGTGATTGGGGTACAGTATCAGCAGTTTGCTGATCCAGGATTGCATTTGGCTGGTGCGTTGTTTGCAGCCATGATTGCCTGGCTGGTCTTGGCACCAGGCGGGCCGGCCTGGTCAGCCAGGGCCTCCGTTTACGACTCATATGGACCACCCCAACCCCACCCCACCATAGCCAAAGCAGATGTCAGCAGTTCCAAAGTCGTTTGTAGTAGATTCTCACTTAGATGAGTCACGGATTGGAGAAGGGCTAAGTATGACTAAGTTATGTATTTGTTGGGAGAGCTCGAAGCCTCCCAGCCCATGCAAGATCGAGAGTTTGATTTGCGTTGCTCTTGAGAAGACACAACTTTGGCAGCCTGGTCCATCTATCTGAGTGGTTGTTTTAAACATGTGTTATATATTTATTCACCTCCATTTGGGAATGGATGGCCCAATCATGGATACAAGTCCATTCACCAACCAGATAGCCTTTTCAGTGCTTCTCTTTTGGCACCATGAGCTATTCCATATGCCCATGGTTTGAGTTGTTGTTGACGTGAACCCTGGACTTTCAGGATGCCATAGGGCCACGTGAATCGATTTTGATTCCCCTCAGTGCTGGATCATGCCCTTTTGGTGGGGGTCAGGTCTGAACATGTTTGAACACTCCCTGAATACAATATAACAATTATAGAACAATGCTAAATTAATACAGCATCATACCCTAACAGTGGCTGCGGGTGTACAGAAACCAGTTCCTACCTTTTCCTGCCCACCCTTCCCACCCCCACCCCACAAAGAAGGACTCCAACGATCCCAATGTGGACCCTGCCAGGCACTGCCCCCAACGTGCTACTAGTAGTGATGCCCTTGTTACTAGTAGCTAGCTTGGCTAGCTTCTTCTTCATGCGACACATCCGTGACCACCTCCCCATGACCACCTACAACTTGACCGACACCCTCGGAGGTTTGGAGTTCAGCCTGGCGGCTTGTGCCATCCTCCTCGCCACCGGCTCCGTGGGCGCGGCCATCGCCCTCGATCCCGCCGCGGCGCGGCGCGACGGTGCCGGTCCACCCCCCGTGGTGGCGCTGCCGGTGCTGGGGCGACAGAGCGCGGTCTAGCGGGTCCGAGAAGTCTGTTGAAGGTTGAAGGAGAAGAAATGTGTTGAGCATCATTAAAATGCAACGTCACTGAAAGAGAAACATTGTAGTGTAGAGAAGAAACTGGAGTTGGGGTAGGGTAGAAGACTGGACTCCAAAGTGGTTCAGAATAGTTGCATGGAGAACAAGTAACGAGTCAGCCAAAGCGGACATGAGCCTCTCCGATTTTGTCGGACAGCTTACAGCTGCGAGTTTGTTATATGATGAATATGATTAGATTACCAAGACGGAATTCAGTTTCCTTTAGTTTCTACATTCGCAGCGGCCAGAGCAACCACACAAATTTGTGCAAAGAAGCAATGTTTTGAGTTTCAGTGGTGCCTCATGTGGCTGCGGCATTTGACTTGACTCCACAGCGATCTCCGCATGAAAGATGGGCGGTGTTCACGTGGACGCAAAAACGCGGGGGGAGTTCCTGGATGGGCCGTCTCCATACCTCGAAAGCATGTGGAGGGTATCGCCCACCCAAGGCTTTGGAGGTGTGGTTTTTTCATGTTTTTGATGGGTTTGGAGCACCTTCTTTGGTCACCCCTGCCAGATCCACCCCGACTAGAACCTCAGTCGACTTCTTTTCTACGTACGCTTCGCCTCATTCGGCCGGGGACGGCCGCGTGGTGAAGGTCTCAGACCTGGAAGGTCGCCTTACCGAGTGAACCGGATCCCTGAAATCGGTAAGTGGAAGACACCACCTGCTTGGTATTTGGAAGACTCGTCATCCGAGTCTTCAGGGCCATTCACGGCCATTCCGTGTATCAGGCCCTACATTCTGCCAGGTTTGAGGTGTTGGGGTTTCAGAGGGTGGGTGAAGAGGGTGAAAGGCTCATCGGTGCTGTATCCATCTGGGCAGGTCTGATTGTGCTAAGAGAGAGGCGCCTTGGTTTTGGGTTTTGTTCATCCGGCAGATTTGCGGGAAGCCCGGGAAGCCCAAACCCCTCTAAACCTGACGTATGCCAAACGGGTCGACACCAGATGTTCTTCACACATTTCTCAAAAGCTGTCAACACCAGGTCGATCCGGCAGTGAACGAAGACGGGGTTTGACAACCCTGCCTTGCCGGGCCGCAACCTGCGAATCGGTTCCCTTCAGAATGAAAGCTACTAAGTCTGAGAAACACATCGCATGGAAGTGGATGACATGGATGAACATGGTCCCTTGGAAGACGACTTTCCTTTACGAACAAGGGGTGAACTCCACTTCAGTAAGTCCCTCTCGCGCAGGGCCCCACCTGCTGCACCGGTGCAGCGTGTCCAGACCCCAGATTGTGGCGCCAGTGGGAGCTGCGGCTTTCAAAAAGTACACAGCCTGGAGCAGCTCCGGGTGGTGTTTAGTCCCAAGTAAGTGTATAAGGGGGTACCTCTACCCTTCAAGTTCAGAACACCCACATGGAACTCCTGGATCACACCAAGAGAACCAGATTTGGTGACCCTGATAAGGCCCTGACACGGGTCAAAAACCTGCAAAAGGAATCCATGGGTTGGCGTGGATGCTCTTGTCGAAGTAACTCGTTGGATCTTCCAAATCTATGAGTTCTGAAGGGCCCAATTCCATGTAATTCCTGCCCCACAAGTTTGGCCAGGTCCATCTGGCAAGCCAGCCACATGTTTCCGGCAAACGAACCACACAGCCTTCCGGTCGAATCCACCAGCCCCGGTCCGACCGCCGTCGCTCTCCCAGGTCCTCGGGGCCCAGCGCGAGCGCTTCGAGCGCCCCGAGCGCGAGACGCCTCGCGAGCGCCTCCCCGAGCGTGATGCGCGCGAGCGCTTCGCCCCGCGCGAGCGGGAGCGTCCGGAGCGCGTCGGGGAAGCCCAGAGGAGCGCATGATTCGGGGGGCCAGCTGGGTTGTGAGGGGTGTGGACCTGGGAGAGAAAGGAGTTGAGGGATTTGAACTGGATGATGCCAGGGGGTAAATAGGTGAATGACTGGATGTTTGGTGGAGTGAGGCTGCTTGCCATGTAGTCAGTTCCCAGATCCAACACTCAATACGAGACCTACTGAAATGGTAACCCCATCCCTCAGCAAATACAAATACAAAAGAACCCTTCATTGCTTATTCGTGTGAGACTTAAAAAATATGTTTTAAAGATCTTTAAATTGTCCTTTCGAGCAAACAGTTCATTGGCAAAGACTCTGAGTGTCGGTGTGTTTTTCCACAAACCGGAAGTCCACTCCCAATCTTGAGAAATACATCTCCTCAGGTGGAGCGAGTGGAAAAGGTGGCAGAGAAGGTCCGGAAGACCATCCGGGTCTGCAACGTGCCTTTCCCGCAGAGAAGTCACATGGAGCGTGTCACATTCTGCGCCGGAAATCGAACCGATGCCCCAAGGTCGAGAGCGTCAGCGTACGGTCCAGCGGTTCGGGGACTCCGATTGACTCCAATTCGGATGCTTCGTTGATAGGGTTGATCCTCCGGCAAGCTCTTCTTGCAACATCATGGAAGCAGAGAATCCTGGCCAACCCGATGTTAAAATTCTGTCTAAGTGGGTAAAGCAAAAAGGCCATTTGTCCAACATTTGTCAAAACATGTTGGGGTCAAAGTAGTGGCTCCTCATATGTATATATATATATATATACTATACTATCAAATAGCATGTTTTGGGGGAACTGGCTCTCTCAGGAGGAAGGTTTTTTCTCTGGGTGTTGGCACTTTCAGGACTGGGATGAAGGGTGTTTTGCGTAAGGAGTTGGGGAATGGCTCAGACTCAGATGGAACCACTACTGGTCAGGGTGTATAAAGGCTGTGATGTGGTTGTTGTTTAATCACTATTGATCATCCCACCAATGCTTTGGGCATGGTTTCGGGGGAGAAAAGCATCCTCGATGGGTTCCAACCTACCTCTCCGGGTTGATGGATGGCCTTTTGCGGTTGATTGCGCGGATACCCGAATGAACAGAGCTATAAATGATACGCATCGACCCGTCCATCTCCAGGTCCATGTGCCAACCAACTTCCCAGTTGCTCAAGAGAGCGGCCGCATTCTGATGGGTTCTCCGGATTGGAAGCACCGCACCTGATGGGATCCAAAGGGGAAGGGGTTAACGGTTAGTTCTTTACGATGTTCTACGTGTTATTCCATTATATGTTTGAGCATCGCTTTTTAGTTGTTGTAAGTTGATGTAATTTGGAATCAGTGTCTTTACATCCTCTAATTTTGCTTTTATCTTCAGAATGTGTACATCCACCAACCCCAAAAAAGGGCCGTCCGTCGGTCTTTCCTCCATTCCTCTCTCTCTCATCCATGAAAACCCGCCGACCACCCATCATGCGACGTCAAGACACCCAGGTGCCGAAGAACCTGGAAGACAGAGACATCCAGGAAGCCTTCGAGGACATTGGCCGCGTCACCCAATGCGAGGCCCGGAGCGTTTGCTCCACGCACACCCGACCCGACCGTCACGTCGTGTGCTTTCCCGTTCTTCCACCGCGGCAAGGATACAACGGGGCGCCTCTTTGTGTGTGTGTGTGTGTCTCTCCCTCTCCCTCTCCCTCTCTCTCTCTCTCTCTCTCGGTGTTTGATGATCTCTCTCTCTCTCTCTCTCGGTGTTTGATGCGCAGTCCCAACAGGGTGACACAGGTTTGTTTGTTCTTTTCGGTGGAAAAGGGGACGAGAACACAGCCACCGCGGCTCATCCAACGCTTGCTGAGAGCATGCGTGTTTTTTCCCCCCCGGGCAGGTGAAACCGGACCCTGCCTCAGTGAGGAAACAGAGATAGGATGAATATGTATGAATAATATATCCCAGACCATCCGTGGGACTGGAATAGTTACATTTACCCCGTGGGACTGACATGAATGTAACTCCAGTCCCGAGTCCGTGGGTCTCCATCAATCGTGTTCGGCACCTCAGGGACACGTTCGGTTTTCCAATACCACATTAGTTTCAGCTTCATTCCAATTGACCACGTTCAATTAGAAAGGCTCATCTGGAGTGTCAAAAATAGGTTTAAATCTGTTAACCCAGTGTCCAATTTGTTTCCATGTTCTCAACAGTCAATGCAGCACTTCTCCTTCCATCCCACTCGATGATTTTCGCTTACACGGTTCACCCAGTCATCAGTCTCATCAGGTGGAGCGTGGAGTTGCCATCATCACCTTCGCCAACTCCTCACACGCCAAGAAGGTCCGATGCGTCGGATGCCAAAATTGAAGGGATCAAAGGGACGAAATGAACACCCTAGCCTTCAAAGGCCACGAAAGAAAGGTTGAGCTGGTGTTGTAATCTAAAGTCCTTAGAAAAACAATCGTTGTTCGGAGTTGTTCGGTTTAAACAAAAATGATGGTTGGAATGCTAAGGAATGGACACTGCTACAAGAGACCAACCTGGGCCGATCTAAACCAAGGCGACCCAGGCCCTGGTACATTCTTGAGTTTGGGACTGGAATTTCCCGCTCAAAACGGATAAAAGAATGTACTTTGACTTTTCTACCCAGGAAGATGCTACCCCTTTGGGAAGAAACGGACTGTTTGACCAGTTACCTTGTGGACTACTGGGAATTCCCACCGTTGGGGTTCACACCGCACATCAAAACAACAACTTTGTTTCCCTCACCGTCCATATGAAACACGTAATCATCAAATATGCAATCCGCACAATACATGTTTGTGATCTACACACCCCATGTCATAACGCCTCATTTATCCATGGAGTTTGAGGCGGATCTTCCTATTCCTTTTTTTGTTCCACGATCCTGTTCCACGAACGCGGGGACCCGTGTTCCACAGGCGGTACAGACCTTCGATCGTGGGGAACTGAACGGCCAAACCATTTACGTCTCTGTGCACGAGCCTTGATGTGGATTTCACTCGTCACATGCAGAGCACCGAAGCACCTGACAATGGATTCTCGAGGAAGAGTTAGGCCATGTTCTGCGCTCACCTCATTCTAGAAAGAAAAACAGCAAAGAGGATGTTGATCAAAGTGTAGTTTCTCCTTCATCTTGGAGAGTTCTTGATGAGGACCTTAAGATACCTTAGGCATTGTAGAGTTCTTGGTCTACAGAAGTGTCCAAGGCCTTCAGTAAATGCTTCTTAGCCGAGCTGAGCTTAGCAAATCCACCGGAAGGCTGCCAAATTTCGGAATCTCGGGGCTTCAACAGCGCTCGTGGCGTCCTGGTTTCAACGTTTGTGGACTGCAGATGCAAAGATGCAAAGACCAATCCTGCCGTAACCGCAAAAGCATGCTAGTTGAAAACCTCCCAATAGCAGTTCCTGTATGTCCCTGTGCTTTCTGGGTGAAGTCTTGAGTGTTGGGAAACTGCCTTTCTCGATGTCACAAAGAGATCAGCATCCATGACTTGGGTGTTGCTACTCAGCAGGAAGATTTGGACGCCTTCGATTTATTGGCCTCGTGTATTAAAGCGGCGCCGTGTTCCATCCAGTTCACGTCGCCATTGGTCGGCGTGTTCCAGCCGCGACACCGATGCCGACTGTGGGCAGACTCGATGCCGCACCGCTGCAGACAGAATGAGAAAAAGGGGAACACTGCCTGAGTTTGGAGTCTCCCCTTGAAGGGTGGAATTTGCTTGCTAAATAGGATGATCATGAGGTATCGGCATCGACCCCAAAACTCTATTTCTACTTCTTATTTGCAGGCATAGCCGTACAGTGCAACATGAAAGATCCGAGCTGGAAGTCCGCAACTTGTGTGAACAACAGTGCCACATAGTGCCACAGACTTGGAAGCTTTGGCCGTTGTGTTGGGGGGGCCAAACCACCTCTCAAAGCGCCTTGCAGCGCCTTGCAGTCAATGGATGTTGATGTTTCCTAGAACCACCTGGGTCAATCGAGCGACATAGTCATCTTCCCTCACTGGCACTGGCGCTTTGGTTCATCAGGCTATGGATCAGACACTTACCAAGCTCATAAGTGAGGAAGTTCGCAAAGAGTCTCAAAGACTCAAAGAGCCATGCAGCACTGAATGGTGCTTTGAATGATCAACAGAGACACCCAAATATCCAGCGTGGAAGCCGTAGAGTTCACCTATGGACCTATGGGGTTTTGAATTGCACTACAACCCCTTGCGTGAAGTGTCCCACTAGACGACAACTTCTTTCGGTACTTGGCACACCGCCCATTGTTGACCTTGTTTTCGGTGATGCCAAGTACCGACCAATTCTTCAGACATCCGAAGAAAGGTCGTTTTTGCCGCAGACATGCGGAGCTGTTGGACACGTAGGTAGAGAGATTGGTGAAATAAGACCTGTCAACCGCACCTACTGTCCATTCGCCCCTGGCAATATCTTTTGGGGGAAGCCCTGCTTGTGGATTGGCGGAGGGGGGAAGCCAAGAAGTTGCAAATGCTTGTTGCCATCAGAAAGCCCGCAGGATCCACCTTGTAGTACCAACAAGCTTGCTTGATCTTCCCAACCTCCGCTTCGCGCGACACGATGGTTGAGTCCCCACCGCGCCATGTGCCGATCTTTCTCAACGCGCGCCGGGTGCTGTGGCGGAACGCCGCACGTGCTCTTTGCGCAGTGGCCGCGGTGCAGGGCGTGACACTTGTAGGACGGGACGTGGTCAGATCTCAAGTGAAATTTTCCGAACTTGGTGTATAGACTGTGTAGACCTCATCTCGTTCGTTTGTGGAAGCCCCGCACTCGGAGAACCATTTCTGGGGGACTCGTACTGTAAGACACGTTTAACAAAGAAAAGAAAAAAGGAGCATCCTGTCTGGGTGTCGCTGCACTACCCGGCGCAGCATCCAATCTCCAGGGAGCGCACCCCTTCGATGGTCCAAGTAGAGTTCACAGATTGCTTGCCATCGGAGCAAGTGGTTTCACTTCACACATTGTTCTGCATTCTCCGACATGATTCTCGCAAAGGCTTGACTACCTCCGTCAGATGTTCAAGAGTGGTGAGGAACTGTCCACTTGCCACAACTAGTGGTGCCCTCCAAAAAACCCTCTTCCCACCTCTTCCCTACCAGGACGCTTCCATGCGCCGCCGCGCATCCCTCGCCGGTGCAGACCCCAGCCGCCTGGAAAAGCATGTCCAGTGGCGTGACTCGTAGCGATGCCCGAAACGTGAAAGAGTTTTGGGAGGTGAGGAGTGAGGAGAGGAGCCATTTGTTGGGATTTGTTGGGATGCATCAGGATTGTACAAAATGACTCGATCGACCCCCAGTTTGTGGGTAGAATTCATGCTCAGAAGCTCCAGGACCTTCCCAAACGGCTGCGACCAGAGTGCCGCAAACCATGTTCCGCCGCACTTTGGACCTACCTAGACGCAATCGAAGGAGGAGAGCATGAAGAGCCATGGTCCCATTGTTCGATGAAGAAGAGGCTAGCACGGAACAAAAGTTTGACCAAAGGCACAAGGTGGTAACGGGAAGCTCAGAGGGTAAAGTGGACATGATGCAAATGACAAGAGTTGAAATCTTAAATATTCCCACGAACCAGTTTGTTGGAGGAGACCGTGGACCAAGTCATTGAGAAGAAGTGATCATAGGAACTCATTATGCTTTTGGGCCCACAGAGCGGATCCATTGCCGCTGTGAAATAGACTGAATGATCCAACAAAGAACAACCAAGCCTTTCCAGTCGATCCTGCGACTAAACTAGACTTGACTGTCGATCGAACTGCGCAGAGATCGATGCAGAAAAAACTTGAGGAATCCCGCGACGATGTCGCAGCTGGAGCAATCCATCTACACAGCTGAACTTGAAGAGTCTTTGGCAGAACGTTTGGCAACTTTGGCAGAACTTCTGAATGGGGGTCCAGGGCAACGGCCCGGCAACGGCCCGGCAACGCCCGCAGAACGTTTCCATCTTCCGGCAGCAGGCCGACCCTCAGAGGATCACTAGGATATGAATGGTAGTTGTTTTAGTTTTAGGCTGTTCAGTTTCAATCTCTCAAAAAGCTGGAGATCCAGAATGTTGCACCAGTTCTCATCACTGTTTACCCCAATTTGGGGCGGTGGTTCCAGGCTGCTTGACTGGTGCCCAGGCAGAGTGGTGTTTGCACTTGGAGGAGCAAGAGGTGGGGCGATTTGTGAGCAACTGCGGAGGCTGGCAGAGTGCCCCGAAGAAAAACAAGGGCCGGCAAGTGGGGGAAGCTGCAAGCAACTGGAGGCAAGGCAACCCAATGTCATTGTTGTTGCCTCGCCTCGCCGCCCTGCCCGCCTGGCCAGTCCAAGGCCGCGACCTGGTCGCCCGCTGCGGCTCCCGTCGCGGGCTGCGGGAGTTGCTGGAGAAGTTGAGTTGGCACCTCAGCGCCTGGCAGGCGAAGATCGAAGGTCCGCGGCGTCGGGTGTGGAGGGGGCGTGATGCGGGGTGATTTAGACGGACTGACGCAGAAGCTGGGTCGTGTTTTTTGGGGGGTCGAGGTTACTTCAATGAACTTGACAGGTGGTAGAAGGTGAATGTCGCCACAAGTCAACCAACCTATATTAATACATTACGTCGGTTCATGTTCACCCAAAATCTCTATGAGACCATTTGATGACCTGCCGAAGTACTGGAAAAGCGTGGAATAGTGGGGAATCGGCTGAATCACCATCCCATGCCTTTCCGGGGCCATGCAATCTAACAAGGCAGGTGCTGGGAACACACCGGAGGTCAAGTGTGCACCAGGTGTCCAAAGGCTCCAAAGCCGCAGGCGCGACAACATCAATCGCTCCTACACACGCCGTGGCAGATCAGCTTTGGGCCAACATCAATCGCCCGGGGCACTTCAACCGGCGCCACGACCACGGCACTGCCACAGCGTCCTTGTTGGTGTCAGGCCGGTTGACAGTGACTGGAGAAACAGGTCCAAAGGAATGGTCGTTTCAGAAGGGGTACCGGGGACCGTTGCTGTGAGGAGTTTCGAGGCTGGGCACCAGGGTGGTGAACTTGCTGGTGCAGTCCTTCACAAACCGTGACCTGTGTGACCTACAAGTGGGGACGTGTAGTTGCAGCCGGAAACCAGTGTAATTCGCAGACAAGGAGTGGTGTTTGTATTGTGGGTGCTCTCCTTTGGGTGCAAGAGGGCCACGTGCACGACTCCAAACCGGGATGGGCAGCCTCGAACCCAGGCGTTTTCTACTGCCAGTGCACACCGGAAGCGCCCTTGCGGCTCTATGGGAAGGCGCCGAGCTTTCGTGAAACCGTGGGGCTTCTTCTGCTCATCTTGTGGGATTTTGCCAGAGTTTCGGGATTCACGGCCACTCCAGGGAACTGCACTCTATCCAACAGCTTTGTTCCTCATTCATAGACAAGTGACCCTAGGGGAGACAGTTCAAATAGATTCAATTAGAAGGTTTGCCGGTTTGCCTTTGACCAAGACAACTGCAGGCCAAATGAAAGGCATTTGGATGGGGCTCCGCGGCGATGTTCCATTGTTGAAGGGTGGGCAGGGCAAATGGCAGGCGGGTGGCTATTGGAAAGAAGATGCTTAGTCAGAGTCACGGGGTCTATAAACCATCCTTTGGGTGGTGCTGGCTCATCATACTCATTCAGCCTGAATCATAAATCATGGCAATGTCACCTAGACTCGACAATGATTCGGCATGCATCCAAAGCGAATTTGTTGCTTGGATGGTTTTGTTCTGAAACCTCGGAGGCTGGACAAATCTCAGGTGTTCCCAAGTCGCCTTTTCTTTTCAGAACCAACGTGGTCAACCCGTTCGTTGCCCGTTGTGGATCCAGTAGTGGATCCATCCGAGCCAATCGCTGCTCCGCTGCTCAGGAGGTGATGGAGATCCACCCGAAGCCTGGCTTCCTGATTCTTTTCCCGCCGGACATGGCCTCTCGGCCTCGGTGGGGCCACCGAAAAGTGTCCTTTCCAAATGTTCCACCGAGGATCGGGAAGCGCATCCCACAAAAAGAACGGTCCTAGGTCAATCTACAAGGATGTGAAAGTGTTGCGAGAAATTGAAACAGTTTGTTCAGAGCAAACATTCCTTCAAAAAGATCAACCACATGGGAGGACTTGCAAGTAGCTCATCCCACCCCTATTCGCGCCCATTCTCCATCAAGGAGCACGAAGTGGACCCGGTGCCTCCCAATGGCCGCGAGCGGATCTCGCCCCCCGGCGAGACAGGAGTTCGTCATGTTTGGTAGCTTCACTTCACAATCGAAAGCAAAGGAGGTGAACTCTTCTGCTTGTACTAAAGAACAATTTAAGCACTTGGCCGAATACAATGAATGCACTGCAAAGATCACAGTACTTTCTTCCCTGGGTGGAGACATTACTTTTTGCAAGGGCTACTTGTTTGGATGCAAACTTTAGAGCTTTGCAACGGCTCAGAATCCAACCTATTTCACAAGGAACCTTACAAGCTTCAGTTTCGACGATGGTGTCAGAAAGTGAGTACAACGATGATGTTTATACGCGTGTGTGCCTGTATACAGGTTGCTCAGACTACACGGTTGTCGGACAACACATTTCAAGACCATCACGACGACCTGGGTCGCCAACATGTGTTGCTATGTTTCACTGCAGACTTCTGAGCAAAATTCATGTTTCCAGGGCATAGTCAGACCAATCGCTTTGTTCGGCTGTCCTCATCACTTTGGGATCACTTTCACTTTCGGATCACTTTCATCTCCGTATCTTTGTCGTGTCAAATGTACCTGAGCACTGTGTGCGGTGGCAAAGGCCCGTGTTAGTATTTGGTAGCAACCTGGTTGCAGAGGAGGTCTGTTTGTTTGGAGATCCTGACACATGGACTGCGCTCAAAAAGCCCTACTCAAAAAAAATAGATAAACGTAAACGTTTAAGGTTGTAGATGTGTGTTTAAGTCTTCGTTTAGAAGCGGGCCCCCAGCAGAATATGGTGATACAGCAAGACAGCGCTAGATTGGCGCTAGGTTGGCGCTAGGTTTCTTCATAACAGGATAGCAAGCAGGAAAAAGAAGAAACAAGCAGAGAGCAGGAAACAGAAGAAGCAAGACAAGAAAAAAAAGCCAAGAAGAAGAAGAAGAAGAATGCACAACAAGAAGAAGACAAGCAAGCAGGAAAAATAAGAGTCTGACAGGATAAAGAAATCGACGGAGATTTTTGCGCTAGGCTGGCGCTAGATCCGCGCTAGCACCGCGCTAGACGACGGTCCATTTCTTGACCACTTGCCCATCCAACATCTAAATAGTTTTGAGTCAGCTCTTACGTCCTTCCTAATTATGTCGTTCTGAAGATTTCTGAGAGCAAAAAGTGGAAACAGCTGCAGGAGTCCAGCAGCAGCAGCAGCAGCAGCAACAGCTCCAGCATCTCAGCAGTCCGCGCTAGACACCTCTCACAGTTTTTGCAGTTCACACGCCTTCATGCTTAACATCCCTGTGGCTTGAGTGTGGTTGAAGTTTAAAGGAGATTTAGAAGCGGGCCCCCATGGAATTGCGATGAGTGCACCATTTTGGGAAAAGACATTTTGGAAACCAACCACATGTTTTTTCAAGATTCGGCTGATCCAGACCTTAGCACCATAAATTAAGGAGGTCCAGGTTATGAAAAGCAATCGAATCGGAGAGGTGACTTTTGCTTCCTGGTACTCCGTTTGCTTTGCAGGATGTTGATCATGGACTGTTGGAGCCGTCCAGTAGACCGACTATCCCTCAAACAAACATAGCCCCCAGCATTCGAACTGCCTGCACAAAAGCTATACGTCTATTCTTGGGGAGGTATTTGGTTCATGTGTTGTCCCATTCTCCAGAAAGGCTTGCTGAAGGCTAACAACACTACTACGGAGGGTGCCCATGTGTGCCTAGTGGCAACACCGCGCAGAGATGCATAAGTGCACGGGTGCTGCTTTCCTTGCTCGAGGATCGCCTTCAACCTACGAGCTCGTTGGCTCCAGGAGCCCTGGCAGCGCCATGCCATCGATGGAACCCTGGAGGCTGCGTGATGATCACAAAGGAGGAAGAAAGCGATCCATCCTTTTAGCAAGGTCCACCTGGGAGAGTAGTTATTGACATAGTGACAGTATCCTGTACAGAATCCTGAACTACAGGAATCTTCATGGTATTTACCCTCTATCCAACAAACATGGAAAAACATGGGCCCTGGGAAGACCATGTTCCTCCACCAAGAGGGAGTGAACTCCGCTTCTATGTTTCTTGGAGGGAGGAGGACTGTTAAGTAGGGCACCCAGAACTGGACGTTTCTCAGGGCCACAGCTTGGGAGTTCAAGTTGGACAGCCAGCGTCACTCATAGTTTCAAGTCTTTTTCAAAAGAGTTGCCAGCAAGGGGGGGGTCGTCTCAGTCAGCATGGACGCCTCTTTTCAGCAGATCGGTCTACTTAAGCTGGCTACCGCACGATCTGACAAATAGGGGGGCAAGAGCGTGCACAGGCCTGCCGCTCAGAATATGGTTGCAAAGGAAGCATGACATGCTTTGAATATTGGATTGGAGGCCATGCAGTGACGATCGTACCACTCCAGGCCATGGGCCACAGTGACGATCGTACTACTCGGATCGAATTCAACCTTTTGCCACTGATTTGGGGTGTAGCCTGAAACCAGCTTGTTGTTGAATAAGAACAAATCCCTCAGACCATAAAATGTCCAAAGACAATGATTTTGGAGCATTCACACCAAAGTGGAAAATTGCCACGATCGGGAATTGATGCAATCCAGCCAGAATTGTACTTATAAACGTTGATATTTCTTGTACTATCCCTCAACCTCCTTCGCCCAAGCCTGATCCAATGCAAGCATGTCCAAAAGGAGCTGTGGCTGGGTTTGCCGATGAAAATCTCACGAGGCGTCACACAGAGCTTCCGCGTGACGTGTCCTTTCTTTATTCTTCTGTACCAGGGCCGCCCCCCGGTATTGGGGGTGTCTAATAATAGCCCCGAAAAGAGGTTTTGGAGATTTTTGGGGTGTCTATGAACCACCCCAAAACGGGCTCCTGGTATAATTACACATGTTGCTTCAGCAAGACCACAGACACGACCAGTCACCGTGGCACCTGAAGATGACGAACCAAACGCCCAACATCTCCGCGGAATCCGTCGCGATTTCGTGTTTTCGTGTCAGGTGGATCGGATGAGAGATGTTGATGCAGCAGATGCCAAGCTAGGAGAGGGAGCGACCTTCGTTTTCGTTGTTTCCTGCAAAACAAAAAAAGTTTTTGTTTGGAGCTCGAAATATTTGGGCGAGCCCAGTGGGGCAAGAGGGACCTGCGGAAGGTGGTTGTTTTTTGTCAGCTGTATCATCTTTTTGGAGAGCAACTACCCCCACCCACAACCTGGATTTACAACAAATGTACGGAAGGTTCGAAAGCTTGACGAAGGATGATGTCAGCTAAGGGATTTGGATGCCCAATGAAGAGCAGGGCGCCAACCAAAAACTCGCTTTAAAACACCAATTGTTTCAAACCGAACTCAGCCAAACAAGGACAAGACATAGCAAGCCACAAAACCATCACCACGCTCAGCTGGCGTCACAGACAAGGACTCACCGCCTTGCATTTGGCTGCGGAAGCGGGGCATTTAGGCAGCATGGTGGCCGCGTGGTGTAGCACGTGGTGTGGTTTGGTGGATGGCCAAAATGGCAGTGGACATGAGATGAACTGACATAATTCGTGGGGATCAACAATCAGTAGGAACCATTCATGTAGAAATATTGATTGATAATCCCCCGTTTGGAAAATATTTTCATGTGTTAATCAGGATTCTAATAAGTTTGATAGCGCATGAACCAGCGTTGCACCATTCCCTGCAGACCCCAGGAAAACCTTTGTTGACGACAACCAATCGCCACATAAAGCAGCAGTTCTTCTTGCACCTCTATAGCCAGTTGATGCACCAGAACCATCAATTCTTCTGGCACCTTTATACAGTCTACCTTCTTGACCCCTCACTGGTCAATAGCTGGTATCTAATCGATCCATCTTTTGGGGGGAGGCCTCATCCAGCAGCTCCTGGACGCTTCAGCAGTGCCCCACCTCAGCCGCGAGGGCTGGTCACCCTTGGGCTTGGCCGCCGAGCGAGGACGCCGAGCTCAATCGGCCACGCCGTGCTGACCTGTTGATCTAACAGCGGACAGCTTGAAAGAACGGATCAGAGGTTGTGAAGATCCGAACGTACCAAAGCGAAGCACATGAACAGACATAACTACTCCTGTCGTATTCATACTTAACTACTCTATACCACTCCTGTTCCAGGACAGATTGGACTATTATGACATTCCAGCTATAGGCTATACAGGTGCTAATCCCATCAGAAGCCTTCAGGACACCATCGTGTGGTGGAATTCTTGCTCGACCACTCCAACGAGCCACAAAATTTGACCGCTGCGGCTGCGGAGCATGTGCAGCAGACAGGCCTACATTGACTTTGGTTAACAAAAGCAGCATTTTGTAATAGAATCAATGCCAAGCAGATGCCGCTCCCAGCATATGAAATCAGGTGTCGCTGGGCCGCAGGCTCTCGCGGCCGCCGCCGCACGCGGCCACCGCGCCACGCTGGCGCAACTGCTGCGGTGCTTCAGCGCTGAGGACGATGCTGTGGCGAGGGCAGCAGCAGCAGCTGCTGGGGCTGGGCAGGTGGGGAAGTCTGCAAAGCCGGCATAGATGCCATTGATAGAAGAATCATTACAATTGAAATCAATCTCAATCAAATGTTGTTTTTTCCAGGGTATCCATGAAGCAGTCCTAGCATGTTGTAGCTGCCTGATGTGAGGAGTTTTGTGGAGGCCGATGCATGCCAATGATTTCTCATGATTTCTCTCTAAAGCGTCCAGCGACCGGAACCCGAACTGGCCGTTCCGAGTCATGGCATGTCATATGGCCCCCACGTGGTGTCGGGTGACCCCCCCTCCAGGTGGAGATTTTGGAAGACCTTCTTCCGCGGACTTCGCCCGATGTCTCGGGGCAACGCAGCCTCCTGCATGAGGCAGCTGGAGCTGGACACGTGGAGGCGCTGAGTTCGGCCGAGCGTCGATGAATCGACGCACAACAGGTCACCTCACCAACTGTAGGCTGGCTCATGTTTGTGGTTTCATGTATCCTCTTTGCAGAGTTGCTGGGGTGGTTTTTGATCAACCTGGTCTGGTTCGCAAGGTGAATTCAGCACGGGACAACTGCTTTGCCTGCTTTTGCCAGGCAATGGAGGGCACATGTGGAGTTGTGTTTGAGCAGGCCAACCATTGTTGCATTAGAGTTTCTGCATACTTCAAAGAAGATCTTTGCTAAGACTTTTGTTCCCCCAGACGTTTGAAGCTGAGCAGATTTTCAGGATCAAGTGCTTGGACCACAGGGCCTTCTTCAAGCCACTTGTTCGAGCTGGGGGGTTGGCCACTCACTGGTATAGTCATCTACACCATACGGGTGTGTATCAAACTGGGCAACAGCCGTTCATCAGGTGTTCCGACCCCCTGGGTTCGGTTCGGGACATGGACCAGTCTACGACGATCCCAGTCACTCCAGGTCTGCCGGATCCTCCTCTCCGACGCATCGCTGCTGGCGTTGGACGAGCACGGCGCCACAGCACTGCATGAGGCCTCGGCCAAGGGCCACGCACAGGTCGTGGATCTTCTGCTGGAGAGGCACCTCGGCGGTGAAAAGCGAGTTCCAGAGATCCAAACCGAGTTCCTGTTGAGTGTTTGGGTGATTTGGGGTTCGGGGTCCGTTGGTACTCGTATTTGAAAGGATTTTTGGCCCACGTGCACGATTAGAGAATACAGGGAGTGGTGTGTCATCGCTGAATCAGTATGGCAGACATCCCAGACATCTCACAACCGAAGTTCAGATCTAGAATGTAGACCCGAACTTGGTGGGTCGGTGGGTCACAAGTGAAGTGTCAGGTCAGAAGCCGCACACGAGTTAAACTCCAACAGCCAGTTGGTTTGAGAAGGAAGAATCAAGTAGAATGGAAGCTTCAATCAACACAAAGACATTCAAACTTCACACGATGTCCATGTCTCTATTGTGTGGCAACCATTCCAACTATCAAAGATGCCATGTGGTTTTCCCGCTAAGGAAAGCGCCTTTGCATCTCCAAGATTGTGAGGCTTTGACGCCGCTACATTGGGCTGCAAGGAAAGGCCGGTGAACCCTGAGACACCGAAACTGCCGGCGGGCCAGCGCCAAACTGATGTCTCGTTCCAACCGGGGAAACACCGCAGGGGCCAAACGGTGTGGAGCAACGTGGTGAAGAAACGTGGCCAGTCCTTGCTCCACTTCGATGTTGGAGGGAGATTGTGTTTTGGTCGATTTACTGGTTCTTAATTTGCAGCGAAGCAGTGTTTGAAGTATAGTGATAATGACTGGGCCTCGAATAGCAAATGCTTTCGGGTGAAGAAAATCTGTGAAAGCAAGAACTATGCTAAACTAGCCAACGGTCTAGTTATCCCTACTACAAAGGTTTTGTGTACTTGAGGTGTTGTGTAAACCGTCCAATCTGCAAGACTCGTTGATCGTTGGAATCGGTCGTTCTCGCCCTACCGCCAAACAGCAGTTCTTGGAGTCGAAGTCCCTCCGAAATGGTTTCTTCCACCCCAGCGCAGTTCGCGTTGTCCCCAGATGCCCAGTGGGAAGACACGGAGGTATACGATACGGACACGGGGCTACCAGTGTAAATATAGGACCAGTGACCAATGGCGACCAATAGCTTTGTATGACAACTCAGAGACCCGCCAGCAGTGGGATCTATTTCCTTCAACTTCCATGGGGGTCTTTGCCAAGTAGAACGATGAATGGCAGGTCTACAGGACTTGTCAATCCTTCGGCCAGAGCCCTCCGCCGCTCCAGGGCATGTGTCAGTGGCTCAGCTGCTCTTAGCAGCCGGTGCGCACGTGGAGAAGCCCCAGTTGCTTGGGCAATCTGAACTGTTGATCTCAACCAAATTCTCCACAAAAGGTGGAGAACACAGTAACCCTTATGGCCAGGACACGGAAAACCCTTGAACCGTCCCTTTCTCGCTTCGGTCCAGGCCGAGCTGTTTGGGGCTCTGGAGACACCACCGGACTTCCCCGACTCCCACCTGTTTGGGGTGCCGTCCGGCTGGGCACCAAGCCCTTGAAACCCGGGTGCAGCCGTCAAAGGTGAAATCACCTGTTTGTAGAGGATTCCATGATCATCCAAGGGACCAGTTTTCTTCATGTTCCACTTCCATTATTTTTTGAGGGAGTGTAGACTGAATATGTACAGTTGAAAGAACTGCTTGATACCCCTACGGCTTGCAGACAAGTCACAGGAGAGTAGGTTTGAGCGAAAGCAATCTTAGAAGCAGCACCTATGCCCATACTTCATTGTCCGAGGAGATACAAGTCCAAAAGCATGGCATTTTAGTGAGTGATATATGTTCGAAATCTTCGATACTTCATTCCGCTTCCACACCTTGGACCACACCTTATTTTTCTTCCGGAGCACTTTTTTCCAGTTCAAATAAAGGTAATTCTTGGGTTCGCCACCCCAACCACCGAACCGGAAACGGATGTGCTCGGAGCCCGTTGACCCGCCCGAGGCCGTGCCCCGGAGCGACCCACACGGCTGGAGGGAGCCTCCTTCTGCGCTCGGGGCCCTTCTGGTCGCGGGCGCGCTTCGCGGAGTCGGCTGGATCCGGTGATTGGAGTGTGTTTTCTTTACCAAAAAAAGAAAGAACAGCTTTGTTCTACATTGTGCCTAGGAACTACAAGTTGAAGCTCTCAATATATATATATATGTATGGTCAGAAGGAGTTTCTGCTCTAGAATTGTGTATTTCCTTTGCTGCAACTCCCCTGTAAGAGAACATTGCGATCTTCTTCCGAATCTCCTGTGACAAATCAAGGTATTTGTCCAAGCGAAAAGCTGTCCCAGTGGCTGCAAGACCTGCGGCTGAGAAGGCGCGAAGTGTTCAACATGAGGCAGCAGCAGCTGGTCATGTGGACATTCTTCAGCTGCTTCCTGGATTCAATCGCTGGGAGGTATGTGTCGAACCGCACCAGACGCACCAGTGGATGGAAGAAGGCGATTCGCGACACCGGTGCTTGCTCCGTCGAGCCGACACCGCCGCGGCCTGCATGGCCGTTATCTGGAACTGTGAGTGGTTTGGGTTTTGACATGAAGGCCACCATTGACCGCGTACCATATGAAGCTGTATCATATTCAGACATTGCACCCCAGTTCGATACAGCTGGCAAACACCAACAACAGCTTAAGCCCAGATGCCTACAGGACACCAGCTTGCCATGCGGGGTTCGTTCGGTGGCCACTTCAATTCTTGTTTGGGGATTCCCCATGTGGAACGTGCTGGTTTTGGACATCAGATAAGATGGCCATCCTGGATGTTCTCGCTGGAGATTCCTGGGTGAGCTCGTGAGCTGGGTAGTCAAGTGGTTCAGGGCTTCCACAGACGAACAAGATGTAGAAGCCTGTGGATTCACACGGAGCGATAGGGTCTAGCGAACAGCAGAGCAGCAGGGTGATCAAGCTTATTCCTTCATCCATTAAGACTTGAAGGATGTTCTTGTTTCTTTTCCCCTCAAGCTCCGAGCACATCCTCAGAAGGTAGTTGGACCCCGCAAACCCACCCTACCACTTTCTGAGGATGTGGGTGGAGCACCAGGGTCGAATGGTTCCTTTCACCTTTTCGTTTGATCCCATCTGCCTAGCAACCAGCTCACACAGCATGGCGGGCTTCAGCTTGGGCCAAAACGCTCCAGAAACAGCTGCAATGTTCGTTGTAGAGCATCGTTTTCTCCCAAACAGGAAGGAAAAAACTCACTGGAGGAGAAGGGATCTGACTTTGAGCTTTGAGCTCCGAATTCAGGTTGAGCCGTCACTCGGCCATGCCTGACTCGAATATCATTGACGAGGAGGGCGCCAGTCCCCTTCATTGGGCAGCCGCCAATGGGTGGCCTGGAGACGGAAGCTGGAGAAATGTTCTCAATTAGATCACCATCTTAAAGCATGAAGCATGGCTATTTGGGAGACCACTGATTATGCTTGTTGGTTCATTTCAGTGGGGTTGGGAGCATTGGATGTTGCTGCATCTCAGGGCAGCGGGTCAGAAGGAATTCATCAGTGGTGGTTTCAATTCGCAACTGGGATCACCATTTCTGCAACAAACAAACAAACAAACCATGCAAGTAACATGGCAGCAGTTCGTGCGGGGTTCCACTGTGTTCCACTGATTAATGACCAAGATTGTCAACAACCATTATACATATATATATATATATGTATGTACAAGAGAGAGAGAGAGAGCGAAAAATAAAGAAAAATAACAAAGTTCATAAAGTGCACGTATTGTGTGTGTGTCTTAGTTTGCACTTCTTTGCATCTTTGTGGAAGCTACTGATTCTTATCCGGCAAGTTACAATTTGCCTTTCTTACTCGAGATTGTAGCTTGTTGAGAGTTCCCTTTTTGAGACCATGCCACCAGGAGACATCGCAGATGACAGTTTTGCTAAGTTGTTTGGACCACTTGAGGGCCAACCTTTGGGCCATTTGCCGATAAATGATCATCTAGGAATGAGTCGAACGACGATCATTGCCTGCTTAATTGTGGGCCCCAAACACTGTTCACAGGGCGGTTGCATCGTCTCGATCGCATGCGATCCGCCTCATTCCGTCGGTCAAAGAAGACCGGTGATGCCAAGCAACGCCATTTCCGCTGAGAAATCCAGAATCTCCGAGAATCTCAGGCATGTGGATGTGGTGCGCTTCCTGCTTCAATCAGGCCATTCAGACGTGGACTCCGATTCAGCCGGAAGTTTGCCGCTGCATGAAGCCGCTTGGGGTGGGCATCAAGAGGTGCTTGAGCCTTAACAGCAGGTTCGGTGAATCGGGTGAGGACGAGGAGTTGGGTCTTGCAAAGACTGAACTGAATGCGATCTGCCTTTAGCAAAGTCTGAAGACCTAGTATTTTTAAGAGCAACATTCGAGTTTTGGATATCTACTTCATAACATAGCCAGAGGACCACTCTTCGAGTGAACTAGTGGACATCAATGGACCAATTGATGTCGAGGTGGTGAAAGAAACTTCACAAGACCCTGCGATCCACAGGTTTCAATTCAAATGATTCATATACAGTAGTTGTTTTTGTAATCTAGCAGAAGGTTTAGGTGGTACTTTTTTAGTGTCATCACCTCCTTTCCACAGCTCCTGAACGCGATTGACAATCGTATTGAAAGCAAATTGCCGTCACAGGTCATGATGGTGATTGAACTAGCAACTGCAGTGCATGTGGGGAATTTTGACTTTTTGAATCTTTTTGACATCACCTGGGATATCCAAAACCAGATAGTCCGATCCCATCTCAATCCCTAGGGCTCCAACCACATCCTCAGAAGGTAGTCAGACAGTTAGACCCCTCAAACCCACCCCTAGCCATAGGGGATATAAGGACCCATTTTGCACAGAAGACCTTTAATTTGAGATAATTTGAGAGTACACTCTTTCAGATATACGTGTCCCGGAGTGCGTTTGGGACTAGTCCCTAACATGTTCAGCTCTAGAGCGGTATTTCCTGGGGAATAACCGGAGAAAACGGTATCATAATGATTTTGAACATGACCCAACATGCCTCGAAAAGCTGCGAACCTGTCCCATCACAGAAGAGATGCCCGTTTTTGTGACGGGCTATGTCAGCTCTTTTTTTTGCAAAATCTTAGGGTTTCTTAAATTCGTAAACGGACATGTTAGCATTGTCCGCACAAACATGTCCACCAAGACACCAAAGCAAGGGAGCCACACTTCTGCGGGACACCAGCACTTCACTTGCCAACGCTCAGTATCCCACACCAGGATTTTTTATAATGATTTTAGTCTAGATTCCCAGGATCACATTGCAAGCCAAAGACCTCTAAGCAGCTAACCTGTCCAAATCACATGTTTGCAAAAACAACTTTTGAATCGCTAACGTGTCCTGCTCATGGATCTGACCTTCCAGGTCACCTAACTTAACCAAAAAAGAAAAGAAGCCTTTAAAAGGATACGTAAAAAACCGGGAGAGTAGCACTTCATATATTTCCACAGATGGCTTTTGGAAACCCTCCGTCTAAAGGCTCACCACGGAGTCCGAACTCGATGCGCCCCGTTCCGAACTCCCCCGCAGACCACCATTCCCAGACCATCTATGTGTGGACCGGTTGGCATTGGGGTCGTTTGAAAATGGGGTCCATGTATTCATGTAACCAGTCCCATTGAATGGTTTGGGTGTCCGCTTTCGGAAGTGTCCGAACTCCTGCCGCGTTCGTTGGAAAGCGGAGGCGGAGGGAGGCTGTTTCGGCTGCGTCCGTTCCGAATGGTCAGGAGTCGGTCCAGCCGGTTCAATCGATGATCACATCACTTGTTTCAAGCAAGGGGTTGAATGTTTCGAGGTGTGATTGATTCCAGGGCAAAATTTGATCCACACGCAGCGTGGTAGGTCCGGCAGGTCCTTGTCTCTTTTTGCAGTGCGCGCAGAGAGTTGACCTGGCATCAACTGATTGGAACCGTGAATCGAGTGAACATGGACTCATTGGGGCCTTTCTACTTTGTAGGTTTCCAAGTTTGTATACGGAATACTGTGTGGGAGGGGGGGCATCTCAAAGTATATGTTTAACTTCACTCTGTCTCGTGCCTACGACTTGTTTGTGTACATGGATTTGCTACATGTTCTGGCGACCATTCATACTTGCAAGTTAGTGATAGCATCACTGGGTGGCAGCAGGGACTGATCCACAACGACAATCGTTTCGCGCGCATGTTGCATTTCGAGAAGGATGAACATGTTCTTTGGGCGTGCCGAAGTTGGGGCGTGCAAGTAAAGCTGTGAAAGCCTCTTTGCTTGGTGCGTCGTGCAAGCATGCGAGGGATCGCAGTGCACTTTGTTGGACAGCCGGATGTCTGAATTTTCCCCCGCGTCCGCTCGCATGTAGACATGTGCTGTTGGATGATAGGGTGGTGGCTTTCATGAAGCTCCTCAAAGCATTCCTGGCTTATGTTCGGCATTCTCTTGAGATCGACTGACCGGCTTTTCTGCAGATGATAGTAAACACTGCCTCCAAAAGCACCGGCATGCAGATTGTGGTGTGCAGCAGATGGCAAAAAAATGCTCAACAAATTTCCAACGGCTCTAGCACTTGTAGCTTCTTCCTTTGTCCTATCCACTGGTGTTTTTGTTGTTTTTCGCATGAAAAAGCTCTCAGGAGATCTTCTTGGATGCTGGGGTGCCGATCGACTTGCGCGGTCCAAACCAACAGACTGTGCTGCACATGGCAGCCTCTATGCTCATGGAAGACATGGCACTCCGCATGAACTGGCAGGTTTGGGGGCTTGGACCCTTTTTGCCGACCCCACCAACCTTTATAAGATTCAACGCGATGTCGGGGTTCCAAACAAATACACTCCTATGGTGTGCAATGGTTCGGGTGCGGCGCAACTCACAAATACGATGGCAAATGTCTTCCAAGCATGATTGCACTAGCGTTTGCGTTTGTTTGTCCCCGATCTTAGACTCTAACGAACGGTCAGAGGGTCCTATGTGCGTGTTGTTTTGCCATCTCCATGTTCTCCTGTCTATGACTTTGATTTGCGGGTGAGTTTTATTGGTGCGACTAAGTGGGTCAGGATCAGCCCCTACCTCAGGCTACCTCAGGACGAACTGAGAAGGTCTTTCACGGGGACACGGTTTGAGAATGTGAATTTCGCCAGCAGGGACCCCAGATAGCAGCAAGACTTCTGCGGCCGCACCAGCAGCACGCAGAGGCACACTGCTGCGGGAAGGTTGCGGGACCCTGCAGCGGCTCCAGCGCCCAAGCTCCCAAGCGCACACAGCAGTGGCACGGCACCAGCACCCAAGCTCCCAAGCGCACACAGCAGCGGCACCAGCGCCCAAACTCCCAAGTGCAGGGCTCCCAAGCGCACCCTGTAGCGGCACCAGCACCAAGTTCCCAAGTGCACACAGCAGCGGCACCCTGCAGCGCACCCTGAAGCAGCACCTTGCACACAAACTCCCAAGCGCACACACAGCGCCACCTTGCAGCGACACGAGCGCCCAAACTCTAGAATGCACACACGCAGCTCTTCCTATATGTGAGGATCTGGAAGATACTTGAAGCAAGATCCCCAATAGTTCATGCTATCTGGGGAAAAGGACCCTGTCAGCCTGTCAGTGTTCGCTCCGCCCATGTTTGCCGGAACGGTTCCAGACCCTGATGGCCTGCTTGCAAAAGGTGACACATATCAAGAACCTCCACATTGTTATTTCTCAACCAGATCATAACATATCATAGTTATACCTTGAGTCTCAAAGCACTTCCCAAATGTTGTAACGTTATGTAACGTTGGTATTTGGGAGGCCACTTTCCTCATCTTCCATGTTAAGCATCCAAAGCATCCAGCGCTTCTCTGACCCCCTGCCAGTGGACCCTCGCCATGGACGGAAAACCCGCCCTACAATCACACGTCCCACCAGGTGCCACAGACCAATTTGATGTGCCTCCAATAGGGCAACCCCAAAAAGGCTGTGGGCCAGTCCTACCTTTTCCACGGCCCAGGTCCTGCTGCTCTTGGCGCGTGGCGCTGATCCCTTGCAGAAGGATTCCCAGGGCACCCTGGAGCGAATCAGCGAAAAAACCCGCGGAGTATTCTAGGGCACGCATGGTGTGGAATGTGATGAAGCATTTAGGGGAAGGGTGAGCGGAACGGAGCTTTACAAGATGATGAGAGAAATACTGATGTGTTTCTTTCTTCTGGTTGTATGATTTCAGAGAACACTCAGTGGATTGGTTCACCTTGTCAAGGTGGTCTTGTTGATGTTCCTTCTGTTGAATTGAACATGCTACGCTCCTCTCCCAAATTGCGTCGATCGCCGGACCCTTCAAATGTGCAGGTCAAACGGCGGCCGATCTGGCGATGCTTTTGGGGTGTCCCGAGCTGGCGGTCAGCATCGAGCAAAAAAGACGGAACCTCCGCAGCCTTTCTTGTTTAATGTGTTTTTGCTTAACGTTTGGATCGTCACACTGGCATCACACGGTTGAACGGTTTCAGGGGGGAAGGATCGCCCACCGTTTGGGATTGGAAGACCGCATGTTGGATCCTTTGGTCAGGGATTTGAAGCATTTCTGGGGATTGGTGCCAATGGGAGAAGGTGATATTGTTCCAATCTCCTTTGGTCTTCCGTACCATTCTTGTTCTAAGACCCAACCTCCCCATGGATCCCCTGACCCGAAACCCGACTCGCTCGCGACACGCCCAAGTCCAAAAGACGGTTGGATGACCCTGGTTGACGAAAATGAAGAGATCTCGGGGTTTTAACCCACAACCATAGGAAGGTGCCCTAGGTGTGTTCAATACTTGTGAATTCGGGTTTTTCAGAGATCACTCTGAAGAGGCTGGCAGATTTCTTTTGCTAGGGCCCCTAAGGGTTGGGACGCTGTTTATACTTGCCTCCAATATTATTGTGCCACTTGTCACATGATGGGAGACTTCACGTGGACAGTTTTCAATAGAATCTCAAACCATCCGACCCACAAAAGACTTGGACCCAGACTGGACTGCCTTTTCGAGTTGCTCTAGTTCTCCATTGAACATCCTTTTCCACGTCTGTCGCCTCAGATCTCCACTACAGATGTGGTGAACCAACCGCGTATAGTTCATCCCGCGGGACCCGCATGGTTCCGCCGTGCGTCGCTCCAAAGCGGGTTCCGCCGACGTCCAAGCGGGGCTCAAGAGTTGAATGAGAGAATGGTCAAGAAACTCCAGTGACATCTCGAGTGCTGCGGGATTTCTCAGAAACTTCATGTGTTGCCTGCAGGTGTTCTTTGGCGTCAAGGCGTAAATGTAACAGATTTGAACCGGTCATCTTAGCGTCGAACTGATCGCTGATCCGCCATCCAAAGAGATTTGCGCCGATCACGCTATGGAAGAAGGCAATGGAGAGGTGCCTTCGCTGCGAAGAGGGCCTGTTGATGTTCCAGACACGCACACTTCAGGCGTCGTTCTGGTCATATAAGGTTTTGGACATGTTTTATCCAACATTCAACATGGGGGTATTCCCCATGGGCTGACTGGTGTCGATGCGGACCGTCAATGACAGCGTGTTGTTTTCGGCAAAGCTGACAGCTTGCCGGTCGCTCTTTGAGGTCACCAAGTTGTTTCGAGGGCTGAAAGATATCACTGGTGACTGAAGTTCCACAGAAGACCCAGTGAAACCAGGTGGTTTGTGTTGACAGGTGGCCTTTGAATGCTGGTGCTCATGTAGCAGCTTTCCGGGCAGCTTTCATGGTGGTATCTATGTACAGCAGAGAATCGAAGCATTGAGGTTTATCCGTCAGTGAAGCCTACCGGAAACAGTAATTCTCTTTTTGATTCAAACTTTAAACTCACTGCCAATCAGGAGAATGCATAGATCTATATATATATATATAGTTTGGAGCCAACATAGCTGGACCAAAGGATGACAAGCCCAAGTGGATGGAACATGATTTCCTGTACCAGGGTAGTTTCCACTTTGGAGTTTACTGAGTTCACTTCCTCATCGTAATTTTCAGGAAAGTCCTTTTCCAACGGGCGATGTTCTGCTTCCATGTGTTGTGCTCCTCGGGGTCTTCCACCCGTTTGGAATCCATCCTGGCGGTGCTCGGATGAGAATCCTCCGGATGTTCTAGGTGAAGCCGGTGCCAAAGCTGCAAGCGACGGAGGTTTCTGGGGAGGTGTTGGGTGTGAAAAGGAGTCCTTCCTTCAAATCTGAAGATTCATCAGATTTCCCATCCAGGTTTGTGATGGTCTGTCATCAGGATGCCTAGTTGAAAAGAGGATTCAGATGCATCTAGAAGGCTGCAAAGAGATTTATGGATAATTTTCTGCAAATACTTGTCATAGACACAGGTGGATCTTCAAATGACGCTAAAACCCGCAGCTCCTGATGCTGGTCCCGGTTGGTAGAGTACGCACAAGTTCAGGGTGTAGGATGTATGTATGCATGTATACCATGTATCGATAATGTGGATGCATTCCTGTATGTGACATTCCTCATCATCGGCAGAAAAGCTGCAGTCTTCGTAAACCACGTGAATGAAAAAATGAACAACATGAATTTGGAGTACTCTGGCTCTGGAAATAAAGGTCGCGTCCAAAGTTCAGTGTCTCGAAATCCTGTGAAAGGAGATGTCAAAGTCTGATTGATTCGGCAAAGAAGGGTCTGAAACGACGGCGTTTCCCTTACTGACCAGGTGTTCATCGACTTTCTGCTGTCCCAAGTTCTTTTAGGGACACTTCAGAGACACCCTTTTCTGAGACCAAAACAAGCATTTTAGCCATAGTGCGCTTGTTTGTTCAGGGATTGATTGCTGGTTGGTTTTTTCAGAGTGAGCATGCGACTGGACACCATGTCAAGGCTTCAATCGAAGCGGTTTCAGGCAGCTTTGTAACTTTTTTTCACGGAGCACCGCTCACTCCGAACTGAACAGACTCACCCACCCGATTATGGACTCCTTGTTGTAGACTGTTGATTCAAAAGGAATCTATAAGAGGATTTGACACGGAGCGTTCAGGCCATTAGATACGACCTTAGACGACCTTAGGAGTTGTTCGAGTAACGATTGGTTCTTTTTCTAATGTGAGAAAAAACACACTAAAATGACTCAATCCAGGTAAACACCTGGTGAGCCGGTTGGTCGTATGTGAACCCAGACCAGGCTGCGATAGAAGATTTCTCTGGGATTCCCTTACATTCCATTTAGGCTGGCTGGCGGACGTTTTCTTCCAGAGTGGAGCCGGTCTTGGTGCTTTTCTTCGGGAGAGATCTCTTTGAAAGGACTATAGTCCTATGCTTTTGCTTCAGAGTTTTTCTCACACCCACTATTTGGCCTCCTCCTCCTCTTCCTCCTCCTCCTGCTTGCATGCAAAAGTTTGGTTTCAGCTTATGTTGTTTTGCTTGTCCCCGGATCGCTGGATTAGAGAATCTGCTTCAAACATGTTTTGGACACCTTAATTTGAGGACCACAAGTTACAAGTTCCTACTGGGCCCTTTGTTTTCTCATGCTTCCAAGTTCACGCGATTTGACGTAGCTGTTTTGGGGGCTCTATGCAAGAACAAAAGACCGGCCCACTTTGGAGCAACATCACTTGAGCTTGAACTAATGAAATTCATTTATGTGCGTCCTGAATCTTAAAACAAATATAGTAGACTCAGGCTCGCCCGCCTCGCCATCTCGCCCCCCACCAGCCGCACCATCACTTCTTGGCCTCGCCTGAGGCCGGCGAGCTCACAGAGGAGGAGAAGCTCGCTGCCCGCGCCAAGCGCTGGGGCCTGACGGGCGCAGCCGTGGGGGCAGCCGGTGCTGCCACGGCGGCCGGTGCTGCCACGGCGGCCGGTGCGGGCGAGGGAGAAGAGGAGGAAGCGAAGATGGCGGCAAGAGCTAAGAGGTGCGAGAAGGGCCGATGTGGTAGGAGATTCTTGGAGCCACTACGCAAAGGGTGTACGGGGCAATACTTGTATCCAGTGATTGGGTCATGTTTGCATTACTTGGGACCACTTGGGTGTGATTGCCGTACACAAATGTCTAAGTCAATGTTTGACATTGTTTGAACATATTGTGTTGGCTAAAAGAGGATGAGGTGTTTCCTTTTGCGTCTTGGCAATGGAGCGGTGAGCATGTGATCGAGGGATTACACCTGTCCTGACCTGCACTTTGCAGTCAAGAAGACCTTGCCACAAGTCTGGTTATGGAACGTGTCATGACAAGGGTTGACATGGCACCTGTCGCACGTGTCATGGCGATGGGCAGTAGGATGCAGTTGAACAATGTGGCTGACGGCAAGTCGAACGAACTGGCGGTAGTGAAAGAAGGTGAGCAATAATCAAGTGGGAGAGGAGCTACGTCTTGGCCAGCGTCCGTTGCCGAAAACGCGCCTACACCCAAGTAAAGGACCGAAAAATCGACCGTCTGTTGGGGGTGGCTCTTGGAGGACGGTTTGCATCCTCCAAGAACCCGAGAGGTAGTGGTGCTCATAGAAGAAACGCCAGTTACCGGACACCAAATCACTGAAATGCACGAAGCAAAGGCACCGCACACCTTCTCCTCAGGTGGGGCTTAGTGACACCAGCGCCCACGGCGAGTGAGAAGCAAGCTCGGTCCAAGCAGCCCAAGCGGCCTGTGGACCCTTGGAACGGTCCCTGTTCTTCCGGTGGTTATGTGATGTGGATAGAAACTGGAAGATGAGGAAGACTCATGTTTGTTTTGCATAGCAGACGTAGCACTTTACATATGTTCAATTTATTACTATGCTTCTTCTTTGTTCACTTCCATGTGATGTGTGGAAGTTCAAACTGTCTCCCGTGTGGGCTGGCGGCACAATTATTCTATGAAAGGGATATGGTCATTGGTTGGCTTTGGTTTCTCAGATGGTGCAGCAGTTACACTGAGTAGATGGCACATTTCTACGGATTCCCTCTCGGGAAGTTAGATTCAGATCTCAATATAGACCACCTCTCAGATTTGTGTCCAGACTCCCAGAAGATCAACCGAACCGGCGGAAGAAGAACGATACACTCCATGTATGGCATATTTGCCTACATGGGGGTGGTTTCGGAGGTGTAGGAATATATTCCAGCAACACGGAGTGAGTGTCGACTGGGAGTATGGCATCCACTGAGCTTTGCAAAGACCGGAAACTCGCCAAGGAAGTGGAGGCAAAAAATGACTTGGAAGCCTTCCTGGCACGGAAGGCAGGGTGCACCGGAACGCAGGGGGCACCGTTTTGGCACAGGTGGGATGTTGAGAAAGGACCACAACTTTGTGTCGCACAAGTCTTTCTTCCACCTTGCTAGAATCATGCACTATGATTGTTTCTCCCGCATGATTGCTCCAGTTCTGTTTCCGGCTAGTGTCCCTCTACTGTCAGTTACACGGTTCCACCCTTATTTCTTCGACGCTTCGCTGCTTCGCTGCGCTCCGCTGCCCAGGCGGCCAAGAACGGTCGCAGTGCACCCTTGGACTGGTCGCGTGGAAGGCCCCGAGAATGGTTAGCCGCGTGCGCAGGGCTTGCGCGGCTCCAATGAGAAGGAAGTGAATTTGTCTTAGAATAGATGGGTTTGGAATAGGAAAGGCATTTTGCTTTGGATCTCGTTTGTGGGTTTGTTTTCTGTGTTTGCTTGTAGTCATAACCAGGCAAGCTTCATGTATGTCGTGAAACTGGAGATGGTTGAAACGTTCTTGTTTACAAGGCTCAAGAATCTTGTACTCGACTCTGTCACGCTGTGCAAAAGCCGGCGATGGTATTTGTGCTGCGCGGTGGTACCAGAAAATGACCTCAGCCGCATGTCTTCAATTTTTGGTATGAAATAGTCAGTTTCAAAGCCCTTCTTTGTCCGAATCCACATACCATTGAACAGGAGGTTCATCAAAGTGTGCAGGATTACCAAAAAGTCGGGTCCGTCCCGTTGTCCTCCTCGAGGTGTAGCACAGGCACCTGAAAATACATGAAAATCAACAGGAAACAAATCCACTATACTCTCTTGCCAGCGACATGAAAATGGCAGGCCTCGGGCTGGTGGTGGACCGGCCCATGGTGCACCGGCCCGGAGTGCAGCGGGTGGTGCACGTGGCAACGGCCGCGTGCGCGCGAATCTGCGGAAAGAGCCGGAGGCAGAACCACCAGACCCAGAGGCGTGGTGGCGGGGGGGTTGCAGCCAACATAGTTTGCAAGGATTCTGAGTAGATGGCAGACAACCAATCCCAAGTCCGTTTTGAGATGTGGCATGTGTATTGGTTCCTTAGCTGGCAAGTGGCATAAAAGACTACTCTCCACCCCCAAGCCACATGATTCAGACCAAGAACCTCAATCACCTCTCTGAAGGGTTTTGCAGATACAACCCCGCCCAGATACAACCCCGCCCAGGTTTTTTATGGACATCCCTTTGAAGGTCCCTAAGGGTATTTTAGAACATTTGAGCGGATGAATACAAGGAGAACCCAACACTTTTGTAGCTCCCTCAAAGCTGGATGGGAAAACCACCGCTCAGCAACCCTTCGCGACCGTTGTTTCGGGGTGGATTAGCGCAGACTTCCGGGTGCAGCCCCGGAGACCACGGAGCGCCGCACATCCGAACCGTCCGACCCAACGTGGTCCACATCGTCCGCCCAGGAAGAGGAAAAGCGGCAGCAGAGGGCCAAGCGTTTCGCCGTGAAGAGCTGAGTGTTTCGCTATAAACTGAGGATCCCGGCAAGAACTGGAGAAGCATGCAAAAAACCTGTGAGAACCTTTTAAGCTGTTCTGGTGATTGGTAGCATGACCAGGTCGGAAAGAGTTAATTTCTTTTTGTCAACAAAATAGGCAATAATATGCTCTGTATGGCTGGGAGAAATACATTTCCCAAGAGTTCAAAATTGCCAAAGGCCCTTCCCTTTTTGATTTTGGAAAAAGGTTTGATTTGTTTAAAATCCTTCAAAAATTGTAATTTTCCTAAATATTCCTAATCCTCAAAATGTTTAAAATTATTCAATTTATATAAGTTAATTTTATGTGTATATTGTTTAATAAATATATATATATAATACAAAAATATTATTCTAAATGATATGTATAATTAAATATAATTGTTTATTAAGTGATAAATAGATTTCGATATAATTTAAGTTTAATATTGTATTATAATAATTATTATAATATATCGAAAATTCATTATTGATTGATTAAATATAATATATATATATTATATAAATTTATATATTAATTTAAATATTAATAATATATAGGAATATTTTGAAAATATTGAAGAGATATATATATTTAAATATATATATATAATATGTATTTATTTATCGCCAATTAAAATATTTGTTTGTCGTGGATTATATATAAATATTGAATTATTTATAATTAATATATTGATAAAATATATGAGGAATTATTTAAAAGTAATATGACAAAAATAGCAATTATTTTAAAAAATGTTTATAAATTAGGGAGGTAGGGTTTGATGGTGCGATAAATTGGTAATTAAGAATTAGAAATAATATTTATTATACTAAATATAGATTAAATTTGGTAACGTTTAGAACAGAATTTTATTATTGATAAATATATGTATAGGATATAAATATTATTTTTATATGGTATCGAAGCGCTATATTTGCTCGAGACCGGCCGTTCTCCTTTGTTTTTTGTCGTCATATGGAGTCGTAACCGCGGTTTATGAAATATTTTGGCATTAGATATCGGTTTACGTTTTGATTACCATGTTGCAGGTATACTCGGTGTTAAGTCCGGGGGGATTTGAATCTATGTGCCGAACTTTTTTTTTCTTTCTGGGTTTAGACTTGGCGTGAGGGTTGTTAGTTCCACTTCACGAATTGGCGACAGTGCAGGTCCTTCGAAGACCACCAATAGAGCCTGGATAAAAGCAAATGAAATTTGGGCGATGTATGGTTACAGCCAAGTTCAAAGCCCCTTTCGTGTCCGGACGTTATGGGAAGCAGAGGTCCCTACCCGACTCAAATCCAAGATTCTGCAATCCCGTATTCCTGCTTCAGGAGCCCCTGTTTCACGACTGAAGATTGCCAGACCCATTTTGAAGCTCCTATCCTGGAACGCCACACGTGGCTTGATATACCAAGAATGGCTATGCTGGTGCAACACCCGGCCAGAAGATGTCATCATCGTACAAGAAATTGATTGGTCCATGACTGGACAGTGGCAGACAGATCAATGGCTCTGCGTTCACAGCCATGCGGCCTCAACATCTCTGTTGGTGATGGTCCGCCGCACGTTGGTTCGACAGTCCCAGCTGGCATACCATGACATCATACCCGGCCGCCTCATGCACATCAGATTGATGCTCACATAGATTTTCGACCTGTATGTAGTGTACCAGACAGCCTGGAACACATCGAAGACCCAACGTGGCCTTCTGTTGGCCAGGCAGGATCTTTGGGACAAACTCAAATGTGGCATCCAGAACATTCCCAAAGGCCACCAGCTCATTTTGGCTGGTGATTTCAATACTCCGCTGAACAAGGACCCACCCCATGTTGGAAGTACTGACCCTCGCTTTAAATAAGCCCTCCAGGCTGATAAGCACCAATTCCAATAATTGATTCAAGATTTGTCCTTAACAGCTGTTCATTGCCATCAAAAGTATGTACCCACCTTCCTGCACGGCATACATCGGTCCCGGATCGACTTTGTGTTTCTACGTAACTTCCAAGTCCGATGGCGACACCTTCGAGCACAGGTCGACCATAGATTCGAACGAATTGGAATTCATCAAGGACCTCAACATAGACCACTTCTAATCCACCTCCCCAGGTGGCATGCTATTCGTAAGCTTCCCATTCAGACTCCTGCCATAAATCGTTTTCGATTGCACCAGGAAATGTTGGAAAACACACCCAGATGGGAACGCTTTGAACGAGCTGTTCAGGGTTGCATCCTCAGACACCAGGCCGGATACACATCAGATCCTATCAACCATTGCTTCCACATGGAAACCCAGATCCGTGACCTGTGTCTTGAACATTTTCCACCTGTCCAATCCAGTACTCCCAAACCTGACCAGCTTCGTTCCATGACTGCACGCATGTGGCATGCACGTACGCAATACAATGCAATACAGATACATTTTTCTTGTGAATGTCAAGTCACTTTTTAACAGCTGGAAGCATTGCACCATTTTTCATAAATTGCATGCTCAGATTCGACGCTTCAGCAGAATCAACAAACGACGCAAACTTGATCAGTTCTCGAAGGAGAACGTTGCCCATGTCATAACTAATCGTATCCATGAATGGTATCGAAACATCCGGAAATTCTGCCCCAAGCAGCCTTTTCGCAGGATTCAGATGCATGATCAATTTGGGGCTCCCATGACTCCACGCCAAGAACTTGATTCATTGATTGCTCACTTCAGTCAGTTGTTCACGGATCCAGATTTTGACCTTCAACCCCACCCACTGAGCCGCATCCCGTTCACGCAGGATGACCTTGCTGCTGAGCTTTATCGATTGCCCACCACCAAAGCGTTAGCCCCAGACGGCTTCCCGGCAGTAGTGTGGAAACACTTTGCCCATGAAATTGCACCGATTGTCTATCAAGCAGTGCAACAATGCCTGGATCGACACAGATGGCATTCCCGCTGCACATTGGTCCGCGGGATGGCTTCATATGCTCAGTAAACCCAATAAACCGCACAATAAACCTGCTACACTCCGACCGATATGTCTTCAACACCCGGTTAATAAAGTTATGACAGGAATCCATTGTAATTTGCTCATGGCCCACACCCTCGATAGGCTCAGAACCATGCCACTCTTCGCTTACCTCCCCCACCGAGGTACACGTGATTGCCTTCTCTTAGTTGTCCGAACATTTCCGCACGGTTAGAACTCTGTGCCAACAGTTTGCCAGAGCGGAGGGACTGTGGGGAGGCATCCAGATTTCGCTAGATCTTGAAAAGGCGTTTGACGCCATCACTCGAATCCACGTGGTTCGCGCCATCCACCTGTTCGAGATAAACTCTGATCTTCGACATCTTGTCCAATCTTGGTTAAGGAAGCACGAATATTGTGTTCCTCACAAGGACCTTGTGGCCAGATTCACCACAACACGCGGGATCAAATAGGGGTCAAAAGACGCCCCTTTGCTTTGGACCTTGAGCATGTACCTCATCCCATGATCTTCTAACTAGGTATGACCTGCAGTGGATTCAATCTCACATCATCATATATGCAGACGACATCCACCTCAGATGGATCATCAGATCGGTTGCCGAGGGTTTCGAAGCCATCCATGACCTGCAATGTATCCTGTGCACGCTCAAGGCGTACAGATTCCAGGTGAATAAATCCAAAAGCGTGACCATCATGCGCCTGGTGGGCAAAAATGCCCCGACGTTCTTGAAGCGATGGATCTCTCGACCAAAAGAGGGGCCTTTGTTGCATTTGCCGGACATTGACCTGAGATTGCCCATTGTCAGCAAGACTAATTATTTAGATATCACGATAAGTTATAATGCTTTCGCCAATGACACGGTCATTCGTCGAGTCACAGCGGCCAATGTCTGTTTTCGAATCCTCAGACCATGGCTCATGGACACACACCATCCATTCCATGTCCGAATACGATTGTACAATCAGTGTGTCCTGCCAACCGTCTCATACGGCATCCATGAGATGGGAATCACTGCCAAGGGCTTTCAACAGATCGTAGGCATGATTCACAGACACCACCGTACCATGGCTAGGTCTCCGGTTCACATCACACGTGAAACAACCCAGGCATTTTATACCAGACTCAACCTGAATCGACCATGGCTATACTTGCAACAGCAGCAGTCCCGACTCACTCAATCGCTGAGTCTTCGCCGTGCTGACCTGACTCAGCTCGCCATGCAGTCTAGCACGCCTGACATTTGTGTCCTGACCCCGGATTATCCTGAGAACCATATCACCATCCCTGCGTCCATTGATGATCCCTGTCCTCAGGCACCCGTGCTGAAATGTCCTAAATGTGACCGCGCCTATTTCCAGGTGGGCCCATGGAAATGCCACATGAGAGAGAGTCATGGTATCCCATGCATGATCGAAGATCTGTTCGTCCCTCTCCGTGACACGATCAATGGTCGTGCAGTTTGCAGACATTGTCACAAAGCATTCACCGATATATATATATATATCGATTGAAATATCAGATCAATACTCGGAATTGCTTACATTTCGACGGTGCTAAGGACCAGATCGTGCCCATTGCTGCCAGACCTGCACTGAGAATGCACCTTCGATACAAACCCATCCCTGGCATTCTCCTCGACAAGCCACTCGTTGCCGAACTGGCCAACCACTGTGCATTTTGCCATTTGGCCATCCCTGCCAGGTCCATTCGTAGGCACTACGGTGAATAGCATCAGGGTCTCCTTGTGTATGAAGCAATGCACCGAGATCATGTTCATGGACTTGCAAATCTAGGTAGCGGCAAAGGCCAGTGCGTTTTGCGCACGCAACAATGCACTGATGTTCGTAACCATCAATGTGGTGTCCTCATGTAGGTGAGTGTGCTTTTAGGCCAGACATATGACCCTTCTCACTTTCCGATCATACCTGTCATGATGCGGTCTGCCACTGCAGATACTTCGACCACCACGCCACTGCCTGTGGCCCAGGGGCAGGATGACACCGATGCCATGACAGTTGCAGCACAGG